GTTCTTGGATATTGTGCCAACACACCACTCTATGGGTTAAAGTGATATGCATCATATGCGATACTATTCGTTACTAATCTATTGCAAGTATCATTCAAAGTGTATTTGTTGAACTGAATGTGCTACATTTAGAACTGGATTATGCATGTATTTGTGCTCTTTTCGGATCGTTTATGCTTCACACAAAATGTCGACGTCTTCCTCGAAAGCTGGAGCAGTCACGAGGACTTGCCCTCAGAAACTCTTGGTATAGAAAGCTTGTTATTTTGACCTTTGTCATGACTAATCAGCTGGGTCTCGGCCATCTTTTTTGGAAGACGAGGATACCGATGACCAGAGCGAAGGACTTAAGGAGACGTTCGCCGAGGAACTGCACCTTAGCGAGGAATGGTTCCATGGCAAAATCAGCAGGGACGACGCCGTGCATTTGCTCAAGTGTCACGCTGATCTTGGCAATGGCTTGTTCTTGGTCCGTGAATCAACTACGTTCATTGGCGACTATTCACTCTCGTTTCTGTAAGTTGTCTCCATTTTTTTAACAAAACCTACTTTCAGACATGTTTGCTTGGAAAGGAAAAGATCAGCGTTACATTCTGAAGTTTGTAGGTCTTCTGTGTCCTTTAAGAATTTGCGAAATGTGTAATTTTCGCTTTCATCTAACTGATCATTCTTCTCTGATTCACATTCGATGCTTTCAAACCGCAGTGTCTCATTTAAAGGCTTAATCGACATTTTTGCATGGAGGGCATTGCATCTTGTCTTCCATTTTCTTCGTACTTTTGATTATTTACTTGTTATTTGCTTCTTTCTGATTGCCAGTTTGTTTACTCAGCTCATAACCAAGTTGAAATAGTAAAGTGGTAGGGGTTAAAGAGCAAGAGTATGAAGAGGAGAGAATATGACGCCGAAGGAATAATGGGAAGATGAGGAAGAAAGGATAATTTGGTTTAATTTGACTTATGAGTTGGTACAAATCTACTCTGTTGCGTATCGAACACGGAATAATGTTTATTTGTGAATGAAACATCTATGCAAAGGTGATCTGTAGAGCAATGAATGTGCAAATTTGCATGAACAGTAAGTAGGAAGAAACGGTTTATCCATAATATGACGATCGATGCAGGTTGTTTCCAGCATTTGAATCAATTTCTCCCCGTCAGTTAAGAATTGGAAAATTCAAGGTGCCAAGGATTTACGTTTCTGGAAGATTTCGAAAGTATCTGTTGTGCAAATTTAGTAGATCTATTTATGACAAAGGTGACTTTCCTTCAGTCGTTAAGATCTATGCCACTCTGAACAGAATTATCTTGAGCAAACATTTAATGAAGCCACTTTCTTGATACCTGAGGCTACTGAAATAAGTATGGGCAAAGTAGGTAAGTTCTGTCTTGATGCAGAAAGTTGACCCAGCATTTGGTGCCCTCCAAGGCATTGCATCGTTTTAGAAAAGTATTTCTACCAATGTTACAAAACAACCCAGTATTTCTACCAAACCTCATCATCTTTCTTATTTCAAAGCGGCACGAAACAACAGGTTACCAAGAATCAGGCAAAACCAGCGACCTCACTCCAGTAAAGAGCGGTGAGGCAGTTCAAAACTTCTTGAATGAATCGGGACCTCTTGCCTAAGCGATCAGGCATAGCGCGTACATACCCGAAAGGCACCAGTACCAGCCGCTTTCCGTCCCTGCCAGTGCTGCTATGGTAACAGACTCAGTTCTAGATGTGGAATATTTTTCAGCGACAATTATCAATGACCCGGACTGTCTTCATATGTGTAACAGAACAGAGGACCCTTTCTGGATCACAGTGTAAAGAAGGAATTAAATCTTGGATATACAGGCAAAGAAACGCTGTCATTACGGGATTGTTGAAGACGAGCTGGAACAAAAGCACTCTGATATCACAGTAGCATGCATTATATGTAGAATTACTACTCAGGATTCAAGACTCTTGACTGACCCTGTACGATATGGGTTTATGATAATCAGAAATGGGAGCAGTGAAGGTCGTGACAACTGCGTGTCCACTTTCATATCCCTGCATTATTATTCACAGAAATCCGAGTAGTATTTTTACATACAATGCATGATACTGTGGTTTGTTGTTTTAACATTTTTTTCA